GTTTGTGTGCTTGCATGTACCCCCAGCACCCTCTTCCCAGGGCAGACCCCATGGAGGTGCCTGGTCTTCAGCATCACTTAGTCCAGCATCACTCACTGCCACTGGGTTGCTGTTGACATTCAGCATGAGGATGCTTCCCCTGGGGTGACTTCTGTGGGAGCTGCTGCAGCACCCATGTATCCCCTAGGTACTGCCACATCCCCTGGAGAACTGGGCAGCACACCATCCCTTCGTGCCTGCTCTATGGGATACTTGGCTCCAGAATGCCATGAGCCTACAGGCAGTGTGTTCCCCACTTGGACAAGCATCAGCACCACTAAAGCCAGTTTTTCACTCCCCGCTCGGCCAAGCTGCCCCGTACCTCAAATAAAAACCAAAAAATAATAAGGACATGGAAAATTCTATAATACCCCTTTCCAGCTTCTTGGATTTGGCTTTTGCTAATTCAAAGCAGACCCTGGGGGGGGGCCCCCCCCCCAAGTCAAATCAAATCAGAATCATGGCACAGAAAAGCCAGATTTCACAAAAAAACACCCAACATCTGAATGCAGCAGGGAAGAGAAAAGGAAAAGAAGTTTAATGTGTGCTTAGAACCAAACGAGCAGTGGTATCATTTTTAATGAGGAGCCTGTTTTCAAAGCCCTTACTCCTTACAGCACACTCAGCAGCCAAGTCCTTTCCCTCCCTTGTAAAACCGTGGCAGGGGAAGGGGAATGGAGCCCGTTGTGCAGCTGCAGAGCGCGCCGCGGCGGGTGCTAGCGCCTGTTTAAAGTCAGCCCTCGGAATAGATGCAACCCCCAACTAGCAACTGTGTATGAGAGTTCCTAAACCTTTCCCGGGGAAAGGACCCCTCACCCGACATTGCCTGTGCGTGCACCTCCGGTTTGCATTGCTTTGGGATGCATCTCTGCCTGCCGGCACAACTGGAAGCTCCTTCTGGAAAACTAATAGTATTCTTTGCCGTTCCCTTCAAACTCTCCTTGACAAATTCCAGCTTGGTTTTCTTCTGCGGCAAACAAAACCCTCAGAGAAACCATTTCCTACTGCAGCAAACGCCTGGTCCCAAGGCTGCTGAAGGGGCCGGGTTGGCACTGTGGGAGCGTCAGTGGGAGCAGGTCGCTCTTGCTTCCTCCCCGTGCTTCTCTTTGCTTTAGCCACAAACTCAAATGCCCCCCATGACTCCTCCCCATCCTGCTCCGATTCCTAAATGCTCCCTCTGGCCACCTTTGCAAAGGTGAATTCTCACCAGTTCTGGCACCTCAGGAGCTGGTTTCCAAAAAATCCAGGGGGGAAGAGGTGATGTTAGAGCTGATGGGAAAAACACAGATGGGGAGGGGGGGGGAGAGAGAGAGAAAATGAGGAATTGTAATTTTTTTAAATATCTAACCTGCAGCTAAAAAAGAAACCCCAAAAAATTAAAAAGCCACAGCAAAAAATCCTAAAACCCCTTCAAGCAGGATAATTCACTGCAATCTGCTGGCATTTTTTAAACTGAATTTTCCTTGCCAGCAACAGTTTCACCAGTGAATAACCTGCTTTAGAAAGAAAGAGAAAAGAAAAAAAAATAAAGGGGGTGCGGGGGAAGAAAGAGAAAATACACCAAAAAAAAAAGAGAAAAGTCCTTTTTCATTGCACGTTTTGGCTTTGAATTGAGCTGGGACAGACCTCTGCCTGGATGGGACCCAGGCCAAGAGCCATATGCAGGAATAAAGTAAATAAATTCTGGTCAAAACCAGAATATTCTCCTTAAAAGTGACTTTAAAAGCAAAGAAAGACAGCAACAGAACTATCCCAACACTGGTTATTTCCCTTTCTTTCTCTCATGCTGATGGGGCCGCAGTCCTAAGCGCTGCATCCAGCAGAATGGGACCTAGGATAAAAAACCCTGCAAAAAAGGAGGCTAGAAATGAGGCAAAGAAAAGGGATAATGAGGCTGGGGGATGTTTTTCATGGGGATGGGAGGTTTCCCAACCCAAGGATCTGCATCCCCTTGGCTGAGCCCAGAAGCTGGCATCAAGGCGTCTCAAAGCACAAAGCAACCAGGAAACACCCTTTAGAAATAAAATGGAGCTTTGAGGAGGGGGCATGGGCTCTGGCCCACGGACACACACTGGGTTGGGAGCATGGGGCTGGGAGCAGCCTGAGACCCCACAGTGTGGTTTCTCACTATCCTCTTGCAGCAGGGTTGCACAAAGCCATGAGGAGAAACAGACCCAAACCTCAAATCCCCCCTTCTGTGTTTCTCTTTATTTGGGGTAGCAGAGATGACCTGCACGGAAAGATTAAATTGGGTTTGGATTCTCCCCTCCCCCAGTTCTGTTTACAGGCAGCCTTGAAACAACAAAAAAAGGATTATTGTATTTTTTAGTGTTATTTTTAGTGTTTTTCTATCTGGGGTTTACACGAGGAACTGGGGGGGCTGCAGGGAACTGGGGCAAGTGGGGGCAGGATGGTAGCAGGTGTGCAGCCCTATGGCTAGAACAGCCTGGCTGCAGCCCTTAACCTGCCTGCATCCCACAGCTTGCCTGTACCCCATAGCTTGCCTGCACCCCAAGGCTCCCTTCACTCCATGGTGGCCAGGTACAGGTGCCAACATTATTTCAATTCCTGGGTCACTGCAATTATGCTTCATGCAGGATCAGTCCCTGGGCCCCTCACTGAGACAGGAGAAATGGGATTCATTCAGTGGGACACAACACGTGCCTACAGGCTGCTTGGAAACCCAACATCTCAGCCCTTAAACTCCAGCTGTGATTCACCCAGGAAACACTTTAACAGCATCATGAAAACACAGAGCTAAGGCAGAACCCCCCTTCCCGCATCCCAGGCTCTCAAGAAGTGACAATAAACCCCCAGCCCTCCCTGCCATCACCCCACTCCTCCTCACCAGCCTGGCACTGCCAACCAAGCTCCCACCACACTGAAACTGAAGCAGAATGTCCACGGCCCCTCCAGATCAGAAGCAGCTGAGGAATGGCACTGGCCGGTGGCAGCTGCAGGTCGGGCACCGCGGCCTTGGACATGTTAGAAACAGGAAAATTCTTCCCTGGGTTTATTTTTGCACTGTATCTCGCCCAGGCAGAGAATGAAAACTGCTTCTGTGAGCAAAGTTATGGCTGAGTTCCCATCGCTCCGGGCTCAGGGAGTTGGGATGAGGCGAGTGAATGGCTTATTTCAGCCAAGAGCCTTTTATTTCAGCTTTAAAACAGGGAAATGGCTTTCGGGGGGGAAGTAGATGGTGACTAAGAAATAAAAAATTAAAAAAATAATTAAATCTAGAGCTTGTAAATATATAGACTTAGGGGTGGCAGGAACAAAATTAGACCTCATTTCCGTAAGGCCGATGGTCACACACTGGTGTCTGACTAACATCTAGAACAGCATAAAACAGACCTGGGAACACTCAAACTGTGCCATGGAATGTCCAGTATCTTGGGATGCACACGGTGGGTTCAGCAGGCAAAGGGGCTATGGAGATGGATGAAATAAACCTCCAGCATAGCCCAAATCCCTGTTAAAATCAGGCTGATCTGTTGTCAAAATGCTCAGGGCTCACCAAGTCCTCCCAAAAGAAAATAAAATTAATGCAGAAAAAGATGAAATAAAAACAGCGGGAATACCAGGGCAGCATGTTTAAATTTTATTGTAAATATATATAATAAATTATTTAGCATATTATTCATCATGCTGGAATCATTTGAGCGCAAGACAGGCTGAGATTATGGTCCTGTTCATTCAAGACTCTGAAGCGTGTCGGAAAAATACAGGCACAGATCATATGCTGCAACAAACTAGGGAAAAAATCCTTTTTTTTTTTTGTTGCCTTCCTATAGAAAAATATGGTTATTTGAAAGGATTAAAAGATTAAGGGATTACTCAGTAACAAGGGTTAAAAACACAGGGCCAGACACAAAGGGGGTCGATAAAAGCAATAGGAATGATATCCCCCCCACCGAATCCAGCCCTTCTCTCCCAGCCCAAACCCAGCTCCTGGGTTGCTGCCAACTTTCCAAGTAGGATCAGGAAGCGGGGAGCAAAGCCTCGGCCCCCACCTAAAGCAAAGCAGCCTGTAGCTTTAAGAGACAAGCGGGGGGGGGGGGGGGGGCCCCCGGGCGCCCCAAAAAAGTGGGGGAAAGGGGGATGCTGTGGAGGGGAACCCTGGGGGGGACGGAGAAAGTGGGGGGTAGGGGAACGGGATGGAGAATGGGGGGCGTGAACAGGGGACGCGACAGGAGGTGTCAACGAGGCACGGAGTGTGCGGGGAGGGGGGGGGGGATGATGCCCAGAAGGGGATCGGGGTACCCAGGGGTAGAACGCTGGCAGGGTTGGGGTGCCACTTAGGGGATGCCGGGGTTGGGGGTGTCGGGGCTCCACACCGGCGCTCTCGGTGCGGGATTTGGCAACCGTGCCCGGCTCTGCCCGCGGCTCCTCCCCGCGCTGCGGTAGCTCCGCACCGGGGCCGCGTCTCCCCCGCCTTCATCTCCCCCCTCCCCTCCATCCCCATCCTCATCCCTATACCCATCGCATCCCCCGCCTCCCCCGGCGCCGGGCAGGGCTGGCCCCGCACCTCCCTCCGCAGCCCCCCCCCCGTCGCCACCTACCAGCACCGGTTGCGCTGCGGGCGAGCGGGGCCGGAGCCTTCCTCCTCCTCCCTCCCCACCCCTGCACCGGGAGCGATCCCTCCGCAGCGTCGCCGGTGCCCCGGGCGAGGGGAGGAGGCAGAGGAGGAGGAGGAGGGGGAGGGGGAGGAGGAAGAGGAGGCGGTGGCGATGGGGCCGGGGCGCTGCGGGCTGCGAGGAGGAGCCGAGCCCGGCCGGAGTTGGGCTGCGCTGCGGGGGGGCGGGGGGGGTGTCCGCTTTGCTGCTCCGTAGGCGCAGCCCGGCCCTCCCCGCCGTGGGGTTTTGTTTTTTTGGGTGGTGGTGGTTGTTGTTGTTGGGGTTTTTTCCTTTTTTCTTTTTTTTTCCTACAATTTAAAAAAAAAAATATATTTTTTTTCTTGCCTTCCAAAATAACCCTCTCCCCCCAGCTCCCCCCTCCCTGCCCTCCAGCCCCGCCGCCCCCCGCGGCAGTGCATGAGGCCGGGCCGGGCCCCACGTTCTCCCCCTCCGCAGCCTGGCCCGGTGCGGGCCCCGAGTTGCGGAGCCCGGGACATGGCCCCCGGGAGCGCGGCGGAGCAGGAGCGAGCGTGACCGCCCCGGCCGGGGGGAAAGGGGGCTGCAGCGTTATTCGTGAGGTGTTTATCCTGTAATTATTATTTTTGGAGGGGGGGCGACGTTTTTCTTCCTCTTCCTCCTCGGTGGCAAACACACGGTTGAGCACAAACTGCCCCCAGCCCACCCTCCCCGCACGGCTTCCCGCAGCAGCCCGTTAATTGCACTTGGCGATGGTAGGTCCCACGACACTTTCGTTTTCTCTTCTACTTTCTTTCTCTTCCTCCTCCTCTCCAACCTCCCCCCTACCCCCCCATTCCCCCCCCCCCCCCGCGTGTGCGTGTCTCTGCGTGTGCACCCACGGGCAAAAGTTGGTTGCGGAGGGGGATACTTTGGGGGAGGGGGCCGTGTCCCCACCCGTGGTTTGGGGCTGAGGGTGTCGTGGTGCGGGGCGGGATGTGGGGGTCGGGGGGGGGGGTGTCGTAGTGCGGGGGGAGGCCCCGCAGCCGGCGGAAGGTTGGATGTAGCTGAAAATGGCCGCTAGAAAAGGGGCGGGGAGGCCGCTGGCAGCTCCGACTTGAACTTGGAAGTGACGCTCCGGAGGGGTCGCGGCTCTGCCCGCACTGGGGGGGGGCGCAGATACCACCACCCCCCTCCGCAGTTACCATCCCCGGTATTAGAATGAGCCCACCCCCGCCGCAATGGGCTTTTTCTGCTTCATCTCCCCCACCCCCTCGCAAAGGCTCCATCCCCCCCGCACCGAGTCGGGGGAGTGCGGGGGGGTCCCGGACCGGGCGGTGAAGTTGGTGTGGTTCTTAATGAGGTTTGAGGGGGGGAACCCCCAACGCCCCTTCATTCCCCGGTGGAGATTCGAGAAAGTTGCGAGCGGACTGAGTTGTGCGGGAGAGGAGCTGAGGGGGGGCGGGGAAAAAAAACCCTTTGCGGCCTCCCCCCGCTGCAGGGACCCGTCAGACCCCCACCCCAGGGTGCGTGTTTGGGGCGAGGGCTCCGCGTCCTGCAGGGGATTCCCTTTGTTTTTCCGTAATCAGCTTTAAAGCCGCGGAAGTGCGCGGTGCAGCAGGAACCTGCGGCTCGGAACCGTTTCGTGCGCTCGTTATTGGGGGGGGGGTGGTAGATGCGGGGCTGCCCCCCAGCAGCCCGCTCCCCGTGCCGGGGCCAAGGTTGCCCGTCAGTCTGCAGCTTTTCGCCGCGTTGGCTCCGTTAGTTAGATATTTAAAAAGCACCAAAACACCCAAAAGTCGGGGGGTGCACCCCTGTGAGGAGGGGGGGGTCACCCTTGGGGAAGGAGGGGAGGGGGTCACCCGTCCCTCCCCTGCTCCGCAGCGCCTTTAGGCCTGCGAGCCAAAGGGGGTTCCTACATCTTTAAATGGGATGTAATATTTTGGGATGGGCTTTTTTCATCACGTCACTTCATTCCTCGCTCTTTTTTTTTTTTTTTTTTTCTCCTTCGCCTCGGTTTTTTTTTTTTTATTTTTTTTTCCTCTCTTTTTTTTTTCCTCCCTTTCCCGCTGTCCTCCCTCCTTTCCTCCTTCCCTCCCTCCTTCTCTCCCACTCTCAGATGGGGCCGCGGCCCCGTTGACTCCTACCCGCAGCCAGAGCCCGGACTCCCCCCCGACCCTCCCTTTGGCCAACGTGAGCCTTCGGCCTTTTTTAATCCCACCACCCCCCCCCCAAAACCATCAACACCCCCACCCCAGAAAAAAACGAAAACGTTTTATTTCCCAAAACGGGTGAGGAAATTTGCTTATATATATATACATATATATATATATATATAATATATACATAATTGCTTTATTATTTTTCCTCCCGGCGGGTGGAAGTTGGACCCGGGTTATATCCTCCTCGCCCCCCCCGCCCCTCCCCAGCCCCGTTGCCCCCCCCCGGGCCCCGCAGAGCCGCTCGGAAGGAGAAAGGGAGGAAAAAAAAAACGCCCGGACTGCTCCAGCCTCCGAAATGACTCAGTAACTTTTACGCCTCGAGTCTCAGCCCTGCAATTAGCCACTTGCCCAGCGCGGCTCGGGATGTATTCGTCTCCTCTCTGCCTGACCCAGGTAACCGGACCCCCCGTCTCCCGTGTCCCGTGTCCTCCCCCAATTATCCCCCCTTCACCGCAACAGACTTTTACAGTTGCAACGCAAAAAAGAAATAAGGAAAAGAGGAGGAAAAAAATATCAAACACCCCCCCCCAAAAATAATTATAGCGTGAAGCAGCCGCGTTTCTCTCCTGCTCCCCCCCCGCCACATTTTTACCCTTTTTTTTTGGGGGGGGGGTGTTTCTGGTGCTTTTTAGGGGTTTTCTGCCTCCGGTTTCAGTTGGGGTGGGGTTGGGAGGGGAGGTTGCATTGTGGTTTGGGTGTTTGGGGGATTTGGTTTATTTTGTTGCTGCGCCTGGAGGTTGTGGGGTCCAGCTGGTGGCTTTGGGGGTGCGGGGGGGGATCCCCGCTTTAGGGTCGGCGGGAGGCTCGGCGCTGTGGGTTCAGCCTCAACAACACCACCACTTGTGTCGGTAGAAACTTTTTCTTCCCCCTCCCCCCCAACTGGCTGCACATGGTGGGGTGCAAGGAGGTGGGTTTTGGGGTGGCTTTTCTTTCAAAATCCTCCAAGTTTGGACAATTTGAAAGCAGTTGTGCCATGCGCTGGCAGCTGAGAGATGGGGGGGATTGTGCATGGCAAGATGTGGGGGGCACCCCTTAGTCTTTGGGGCGGGGGGGATGTTGGTGTTGAAGGGCAGCCCCAAGCCATGTGTGTGGGGACGCCAGTGTCACTCAAATCCAGGCCAACGTGGCTGATGGTGTGGGCAAGAAGGGGGTGTCCACAAAGGTGCCCCCAGCAGCCAGTGTGAGCCTTTGGGGACCCCCACTTGCCCACTGCAGCTCCGTCTTTGCTCTGTCTTTATCGATCACTGATACTTATTTAAATATTGAGCCGGGAGATTCCCCCCCCCCCCCATAACCTCTTCGCTGCTCTAAACCAGCCTCGTGCTACACCAGGCTTGGCCGCTGCTGGTGCAACCCCCCATGGCAGGGCTTCTCCTGGCAGAGGGCCCTGATACCATGGGCCAGGGTCCAGCCCCACCTGTGGAGGCCTGTACCTGGGGAGTTCAGGGGGCTCCTGGGTAGCCCCATGGCCCCTGTGTGGTGCCTGACGTCCACAGGGCTCCAGCCTTGGCCCCATCTCTCCCTGGGTGCAGTGCAGCAGATGGGGCTGGGGATGGTACTGACATGGGCACAGGCACGGGCATGGGCAGAGGTGGGCAGCACAGGGGCTGTTCGCAGCACCCTGGGGTGCTGCTGCCCAGCCTGGGGTTTACGTGGCAAAGGGTCACACCTCAATCCTTTCTTCTTTCTTTTTCCTTTTTCTGTTTCTTCTATTTTCTTTTTTGTCTTTCTATTTCTCTTTTTCTTCTTCATCTTCTTTTTCTTCTTTCTCCTTTCTTCTCTTTTTTCTCTTTCCTTCCCTTCCCTTCGCTTCCCTTTCCCTTTTATCTTTTCCCTTTTCTTTTATCTCTCTTTTCCTTTCCTTTTTTTTCCTTTTATTTTTTCCTTTCCCTTTTTTATTTTCTCTTTTCTCCTTTCCTCTCTTTTCTCTTTTTTTTCCTTCCCTCCCCTTCCACCATGACTCCGTCCTCTCCTGGGGTCCCACCACCCCACTCTCCACCGGCGCTGAGCCCTGATTGCCCGGTCTCTGCTCTGGGCTGCAGTGGGAGCCGCTGGCTGCGCGGCCGGGGCAGTTCCGCTCCCAGATCTGGGATCCCAGAGCTATTCCCAGCACTTTACCCGGCTGACGGGGGGGGAGTGGGATTTTCCTCCGCAGATCCCAGCCTCTGCCCCGATGCCTGCATGAGGGGGAGGCTCCGGTTTCCCCCTCCATTGCCCTTGCATAGCCTCAGCTTCGATTCCGCGGGGCTCAGATGGGATCAGACGTCGTCTGCACCTACTGGATCCAGCCCCGCTGTTCCCATCTCAGCTCCGCGGGGAGGATTGCTTGGGCTCGGGAGCTGCAGATGGTGATGTGGATACATTGGAACGTGCGCGGGAGCCGCCCTTGCCTCGGCCTTCACGCATCTCCCGAGCTGCCACCGCCGGCCCCTCAAGCATGGCACGGCCACTTGCGCCCCGGCTGCTCTTAGGGGCAGCCACCCTTCCCAGCCGGAACTGGTCCAAGCTGGGACTGAGCAGCTCAGTGGCACCAAAATAGCCCTGGCAAAGGCATCAGCCGGGACATGCTCCCACTGGGGCCTTGGCCGAGTCTCCCATCAGGCAAGGAGGTCACTTTGTGCCTTCCTGGGTGCTCTGTCCCTGCCTGGGGACTTTCTGGCTCACCTCCATCCCTGCTCAGGGACAGGCCAGGAGCTCTCTGGATTAGCAGGGAAGCGGCACCACAGCCGCTGCCACAAGACAAAATAACCCTGACGTTAAAGACCTGCCATGCATGTGTCCCTTGGGAGATGCTGCTGTGGTGTTCCCAGAGTCATAACAGTTATCCCAGCTCCTGGAGCTGCACTGGGGTTGGGGTGGGGCAGGATTTGGGTTGCTCCTGGGAAGGTAGATGTGCAAATGTGATGACCGGTGATGCTTATGCAAACCTCTCTCTCACCAACTCTGGTACCTACAGGCTGGGGGCGAGGTGAGGTGGGAGCCAGTGTTGAAGGCAAGCAGAGCAATGGGAGCTGGTTGTCCTGCTGGGATCCAGCTGGAGACCCTCTCCCAAGCCCAATGAGTCTGCTGGGACTGGGAAAGGGGAAGTTGGCTCTGCCCATTGCCACTGGCTCAGGCACGTGGCAGGAGCAGGGATCATCCTTTGGCAAATCTTCCCAAAAGTGCAAGCGCAGGGAGCACCAGTGCTCGCCCCCTCCGCCAGTAGCTCCATCGAACTGGCTTCCAGCCAGGAGCTCAGACTGGCTGCCAATGGATGGGAGCAGTGAGCTGGGCATGGTGGGGGGGAGAAATGGAAGGTTGCAACACAACTTTCAATTCTCCCATCTGCTGAGTATTGTTTGGGAAAAACAATGAAGCTGTTCTTTAAGCACAACCTTCAGGAGAGCCTCGCTTGCGCCTGCCAGGCCAGGCCAGACCCTGCTCGAGCTGATCCCAAATTCTTCCCATAAACCAGATCCTGTTTTAAGCATGGTGCATGGGGCTGGGATGGGCATGCGGCGTGACCTGCTGCAGGAGAGACGCAGTCGGGTGAGAGCCGAGCAAGCGGCCGGAGC